ACATCATTGAAAACTGAAACGCATTCTTCAAAATTAATACAAATTAACTGCTCAGCAATTTAGTCCATTATTTTTGATAGACATACAAATAAATTGTGAAAATAAAATACCTCTAAGTGGTGGAGATTCTAATACTGGTGTTGAAATGGAGACTCTATGGCACAAAGCAGCTACAAAAGAAGGAAGTCAAGCAAGTCCTTCAAACGACATAAAACTTGGGGGAAAACCACAGCAATAACCTCATTTTGGAAGAAGACAACTTGTTCTATATTTACTGTTGCTATATTTTATAATAATATAAAGAGGAATCTCACCCACCCACATGATGGATGGCAGCTCAATGTCTTCATGCACAAATCCTCTCACCCCGCTTTCAGAAACTCACATTCCCCGAAGGTCTTCTGTTCCTTAGCTTGCAGATACCCGACACACCACAGAAGAAACACATTTCACCTCAGCATATACTCATTGAGCTAAGCCTCCCAAGGAGCCAATTCAACTCAAGCATGATGAAACAATTCTTACAAAATGATCATTGAAATTTCAGTCTCTCTATAATAGCCAAGAAACAAGGAAACCAGACTGTGACCACAAATAATGGTTTATAGATTAATATTGTGAGGAGATAGGAGTGTCCCAGCTTTAAGAATTTAAGATTTTTCAAGCAAGAGGAATTCTTGTTCTGTGAAAGCAAACAAACCAAGTGTGAAGCCTATGAATGTGAATGTGAACGACAAAGATGGATAAAAAGTCTTTGTTCTCTCCACTCAATGACTTACCTGGAAGAGGACATTTATGCTGGGGAGTGGGGAGGTGGGGTGGGGGGAGGGTGATGTCATTCAGGAGTCAGCTGACCTGCTCTCTCCACCTTATACTAAGCACACACCACATTTTCAGCTGTATCATTTCACCCTTAGGTCTTAGCTCATACTATTCCTCTCTCTCTGCTGGAGTTTCCTTCATATGCTCAGCCTGTGCAGACCTCCAATGTCTCTTCCTTTCACAATTACTGTTAACCACAGGATGAAAGGTTTATTCTAAACAGCCTTATTCTCTGGTAGTTTCTAGGATATAATTTAAGCATTTAGACAGTTGAATGATCTGTGGATATCTGGAACATCCTGAAGTCTAAAGGAATGTCACATGAAGAGAGTGAAATAAATTTAAACACACACACAAATTTCCATTTGGAATTTGAACTCAAATTCAAACAAGTTCTCCAGTTTTTGTGATCATCCTGTCCCAGGATATCTTAATAAAAATGACTCAAATTACTCTTCCCTTAGTTGCGGGAAACACATCACCCTCATTCATACCCAGATCAATATTACCAGGGAATATTAGTAATGCTATATATTTTTTTAAAAACTGAATTGCTCATTTCCTGCTTATACTGAATTATTGATCTCTGTCATATCTCACCTCATATAGATGTGTGAGTTTCTCTGTCCCATGGTGATTAAAATGGAAAACAAAGCAGTTTTTATTTCATGTCACCAATATCTACATCTAGATCTAAACAGATAATTCTTTAAATACTGTAATTTAAAAATAAAACATACATTTAAACTAATTTTAAAACAATTACTTCTATGAAGTAAAATGTGACAATCTTTTATACCTTACCTCTTAATTCATTCTCCAACAAACTATATATATATATATACACACACACACACACACACACACACATATATATGTGTTATATGTGTGTGTGTGTGTATAATACTATATTGAATGGACCTAGACATTACAGCAACCAAAATTCTCTGCTTTTCCTCAACTCAATGAAAGCAGCTCTTTTGCCCCTTTCCTGTTTGCCCATTTCTGTCCCCCTCTAACCTTGAAAGAACCTAATTATAGGAATTAGATCACTAGGCAATTTAAACTAACTCCTGACGTTTGCTCTCCTGAATGCATACCATGCCTTGCTTAACCTGTTGATTCTTTTCCTAGATAAAAAGAATAAATAATTAAGTAGTTAAAGAATGACTAGCTCTCTAGCCCCAACAACCTCCTTAGCAATCCTGTAGGCAGATCTGCAGGCAAGATAACATCTGAAGAGAGAGTCAGCCAGTCTGCATACGGTGGAGAATGATGCCGAACCCAACCTTCTGCCCCAGTGATTCACTGAGATTCTCAACACCTCCCCCTTTTTTTCCCTTTAAAAACTGTCATGGCTGAGCAGAATCTTTGGGGCTGGTCTCAGGACATGAGTCCACCTTCTCCCCAGATTGCCAGCTTTTCTGATTAAAGCCTGTTTCCTTTTGACTGACACTTTCCTCTTGATTATCGTCTTTTGAGTGGCAAGCAGCTGAACCTGAGTTCAGTAACATCAAGACTGATATAGACTAGAGAACCTGCAGTGGGGAGATGGTTGTGTCGCTTTTCTTCTCTTCTTTTGTTTTTTTTTTCCTTTTCTTTCCTCTCAGTTTGGGCTGCTATAACAAAAGTATCATAGACTAGGTAGCTTATAAACAATAGAAATTTGTTTTTCACAGTCCAAGAGGCTGGAAGTCCAAGATCAAAGTGCCAGCATGGTCGGTTGAGGAACCTCTTCTGGTTGCAGACTTCTTGTTGTATCCTCCCACAGTAGAAGGAGCAAGGGACCTTTCTGGGGCCTCTTTTATAAGGGCACTAATCCCATTTATGACCTTATTGCCTCCCAAAGGCCCCCACCTCCAAATACCACCACACTGGGGATTAGGTTTTAACATATGAATTTGTGGTGGGAATACAAACATTCAGACTGATACCAAGCAGGACCCTGTGGGGCTCTCTCAGGTACAAATCCTTTCCGCATCCCCCATTTCTTGTTTGTAGGAACTAGGCTTCATTCAGCCTCCTTGACCTTCCCTGAGTTCCAAAGGGCAGATTCAAACAGTTGCTAATCAGGGAAGGGAAGGAAGGCAGAAACAAAGGAAGAGCAGTCACGAAACGATAGTGCAGCAATAAAGCAGGGTCCTGGTTCCTCCCCAAGGAATATCTTTGAGCTCCTCTGTAGGAACTAAGGCCCTCATCCAGGCAGAGGATGGTAACTTCAGGCTGAGTCTAAGATACTTCAAATGCCACCCTGTTACCTCACCACCAACCAGTCAGAAAAAAGTCTGCACCCAGTAGATGATAACAAAGACTCTGACCCCCTCCCAAATGATTCTCCCTTTAAAAACTTTCATGGTTGAGCAGAATTTTGGGAGTTGGTTTTTGCACAAGAGTCTGCTTTCTCCCCAGGTTGCTGGCCTCCTGAATAAAGCAACCTTTCCTTTCCAACCAACACTTGTCTCTTGAGTACTGAGTAGCCAAACTTGAGTTTGGTAACAAGACCATAACACTTTCTTCTGTTTGTTTTGTTCTTGTTTTTCTTTGCTGTTATTACTGCTATTGTTGTTCAATCTTCTGCCCTGCTTCTGTTTCTGCCCCTCCCTTGCTCAGATCACACAGGGAGGAGGTATGGCAGGACACATACATGGCTTTCTTAACACCATGATTGTCACTTGAAGGCAGTATTTGCATTAGTTCCTATTGCTGCTGTAACAAATTGCCACACTTTTTTTTTTTGATTAAACAACATAAATGCATTATCATGCAGCTCTGGAAGTCAGAAATTCAAAATATATCTTATAGGACTAAAATCAAGGTGTTAACAGGGCTGCATTCCTTCTGGAGGCTCTAGTGAAGAATCCATTTCCTTGCCTTTTCCAGCTTCTACAGACTGCCCGCATTTCTTGTCTTGTGGCCCCTTCCTCCATCTTCAAAGCACATCACTCCAACCTCTGCTTCCACTGTCACATCTCCTTCTCTCACTCTGACACTCCTGTCTCTCTCTTATAAGTATCCTTGTTATTTCTCCAGGATAATCTCCCCATTCAAGATCCTTAAACATATCTGTAAAGTCCCTTTAGTCATGTAAATTTCCAGGGTTTAGGATGTAGTCATCTTTTGGAGAAGGGAGCATTATCCTGCCAATCACAGTAGCCTCCCAGGGAAACTTTTATAGGTTCTTCACTCAAGCAAAAGGACTTAGTGTTTCCCCAAATCCAGGAGACACTGGTCACATTCTCCCAAGAGCTCTCTGGATCATCATACTCCCAAGGCAGCAGAATGTTCCAAAGAGTCCCCTCACTTGTCTTAATTTATGTATAGGGGAAGGCTTTGCTCATTCCCTAGAGTGGGAAGGGAGAGTGCACAGCACTCCCGTTTTGGACCAAAAAAATTTATTGATAGACATTGCCCTGTTAAATGCTTCTTGATTTTTTTCAACTCTGTATAGCCTGTATTGGGTATGGGCCAAAGGCCACAAGCCTTGTTATGCTATGTATTTTTAACCTCTGTTTTCTAACATCCTGCTGTAGGATATTTGGAACCTTATCAGTCATTGTGCTCAACATGGGGGCCTTAGCCAAAATCCCCAAAGAAGGGAAAGTATAAATTAAATTTCTTATTGTATATAAGTAAAAAATTAATTCATCTTTAATTATCTGAGTAATAAATTAACAAGTTTTACTTTTAAGACCTGGGGCTAAAATCTCTCCCCTCTGCCAGGGACAGCCTGATTATTATTATTATTATTATTTGAAAATACATCCTAATTCTTCATATCTGAAGAAACATATCATTTTGTTCAATGTGGCTTTTACTTAATAAATAACATCATATCACATGATGTGATCTACTTCGTTCTTTTAACCGTATTGCATTATTCTATATGAATATAGCACACTTTATTTAACCAATTCACCAAAAGCCAATTCATTGAGAACCATTTCACCAAATGATCAATATGTCAAATAAAAAAATTGTAATATGTACTTTCTAAATTTTAACTATTTATAGAACACTTACAACAATGTGAAGAGGTAAGCTTTATCAGCTTTTATAGATTTCTGCAAAATTTAAGTTGATACATTTAGAATCTAAAAATATTTCATTTTTTCAGAAGCTGGGAATAATATTCTGAAAATGTGCCCTTCAAACTCCTCTTATCTCTGCCCCATACTCACCAGATCACTGGTGTCATCATTCTGGGCTTCTGTTTTGTTTACTGACTGTTTTTTGGTCCCTGGCAGCATCTTCTCTCACTGCTGCAGCTGCAAGTTGATGAAGCACAATTGGACATTTCTTAAAATGCTGCCAAGAAAAAAAAAAATTGTTAACTATCCAATTGTTTGAAAAGTCCCAAATCATACATATTGTTGTAAATTTTAAAATTAAAGAATTTTAACTTTGGCAAATTGATTATTCTGTGCATTGACTTTTGGCAATTTGACTGTATAGTAAAGAAGCTTTTCATAATTGCCTTGAATGAATTAACTTCCACAATTGTTCTTCTCACATTAATGGAAATCTAGTCTGTTTTTCATTTTCCTTTGGCCAAAAAAAAAAAAAAAATATATATATATATATATATATATACACACTACCACATTTTTCTTCAAAGTGGCTTTTAAAATTTGCATAGTCAAAGGAGTATAGAAGGTTCCAACTTCACCACATCTTCACATACACTAGTTGTTATAAAACTTAGTGTTTTGTTATTATCGCTGTCTTTCTCTATTAGAGAGATTGATATTTACATTTTTTAATGGCCACTGGAATTTCCTCTTCTGTGGTTTTCTCTTTGTATCCTTTGCCATATGTCAATTTCAATACTATGGCTTTTCTAAAAATTAATCTATAGGAAACTTTGCACATTCTGCTCTCATTCCTTTGTTTCCTATGTGTGTTACAAATAAAATTTCCAGTCTGTAGCTTGTATTTTTGTTGTTCAGTTTCCCTTTTTTCTTTTTTTTCCTTAAATTTGTTTATTATGTCATTTATCTTACAGAAATTTACTTTCAAATGTCAATTTAAAACTATTTTATTTCATGTCTCTTGCTCATTTTGGAACTTAAGATGGTCATCCCTGTCTTAAAATCATAAATATTTTCTTTTATAATCTGCCAATATTTGAAATATTTTTTTCCTTTTACGTGTTTAATATACATGGAAATCATTGTTCTAAAAGACGTGAGACACAGATCTAATTTTAATATTGGAGGCATTCAAGTCTCACTTTTCTTTTTTTTTTTTAATTAATTAATTAATTTATTTATTTAGGGCTGTGTTGGGTCTTCGTTTCCGTGCGAGGGCTTTCTCTAGTTGCGGCGAGCGGGGGCCACTCTTCATCGTGGTGCGCGGGCCTCTCACTGTCGCGGCCTCTCTTGCTGCGAAGCACAGGCTCCAGACGCGCAGGCTCAGTAGCTGTGGCGCACGGGCTTAGTTGCTCCGCGGCATGTGGGATCTTCCCAGACCAGGGCTCAAACCCGTGTACCCTGCATTGGCAGGCAGATTCTCAACCACTGCGCCACCAGGGAAGCCCCCCAAATCTCACTTTTAAACTTCCCGGATTTAAAAGAATCTTTGGTATTTGATAGAACAAGTTTCTATCTTTCTTTGTTAACTTAGCTGATCTCGCTAAACTGACATGAATTTTAGAATAAGTTTGCCAAGTTCCATGAAAAATTTCTAGAACAATTTTAATTGAAATTGTATCGATAGTAAATCTATAGACTGATTGAAGAACTGATATTTTTACCATATTCATTCATAGCAACTATTCATTGCCGTGAATAGAAGATTTTTCTAGTTTTTCCTTTAATGTCTTTAGTACCTCTTTTATAATTTTCTTAATACATGGTTTGTCCATTTCTGATTCAGTGTATACATACTTTATAGATTTTATTGCCATTTTTAAGGAATTTATATACTTTGTTTGCATTTTAGAATTAGTTATTGTTTTTTAGGAGAGTTTCAGTTTTATATATTAATTTTGTACCCTGCCACCTTGTGGTAAACTTCTAAATGGCCCTGAATTTATTGGAAATAATTTTAATGTTTCACAACAATTTATTTGCCTACTGAAAGTTTTAGATACAATCACTAATCACATTTTATTCCTTCCTATGTTTTATTTATGAAATATCTTCACCAGAAATGAGAGGTAAATTTTGTAAAACACTTTACTACTTGATCTGTTGAGATGACAGTGGTGTCCTTCTCTTCAACATTTTATAAAGTTACATTAATAGAGCTTCTAAATGTGGTACCATTCATGCATTCCTATGGCCACATATTTTCAAATGTTTACTAGATATTTCTGTTTCTTTTTCTGTGACTTACTTATTCTTATTCTTTACCCATTTTTCTAACAGTTGTATTATTTTATTTGTAATTGTACTTTATGATGGAAATTAACTTTTTGTCATCATGTGTTTGCAAATATCCTCAATTCTCTTTTTTGGTTTATTTGCTTGTGGCTTTGGTTCTATATAATATCTAGTTTTTAGTTTCTTGTGACAGATTATATATTTTCTGGGGTTGCCATTCTTTCTTCCTTCTTTCTTTCCTCTTTGCATCTTCAAAGCCTTCTTCAGAAAGGCTTGCTAGTTATCTCCAAACATTTTTAAAAGAGTCCATTTTTTACCACTAACTTGAAATGTCACCTTTATCACGTACCAAATTCTCATACATATGAGGATATATTTCCCAATGTATCAATAGTATACTTAACACTAGTTTTTTGGTCCTACACTCTTCCATTGACATGTATATACTATTTTAGTTGCCTCATCTTTAACATGCTAGATTTTGCCCCCAGCCATTGCAGTTTCTGCGTGTGTGCTCTTCTTGGTGAGCTATCAGTCACTTCATAAATTTCTAAATGTTGTTTTCATAGTTTAAGTCAAAAGAATTGTCATTTTGACTATTACCTCTATTAAAAAGGCATTTTAATCTATTTATTCAAGCCTTTTCTTTTGTTGTTCCTTGACAGAGTTTTAAAGTTTTATCCATATAGTTTCTGAAAGTTTCTTGTAAAGTGTATTCCTTGGTATTTAATTCTTGTGCCCCTATCTAATGTTTTTCTTTTCCATTATATTTTCTAACTGGTTACTTTTTTGCATACAGGCAAATTATTATTTTTGAAATATTGTTTTTAAACAAATCACATTACTGAAAATCTGTATTGTTTCCAATATATTTTTACCTGCTCTTTGCCTAGAAGTCACACTTTGATGGCTGGGAGAAATAATAAAAATTTACAGTGCAACTTCTTCCAGTATACAATATAAAATTTAAATTTAGCTATTCTTGTTCTTAAAATCCCTGAGTCATAGCTGCCCTGGGAATTTCTCACTGAAGATTTCCTCTCTCAGGTTCACAGGCTTTTGCCATATTGCTGGGTCTATCTCTCTTTTCCTGCTCTCATCTTCTCTCATTTCCCTTCGCACCATTGCATTCTTATCACTGCCTCTGTAGGTATGCTCCCCCAAATAATAAATTCTTAATTTCAAAACAATTAAGTTATCTTCCTGTCATTTTTATACCAACCTAATCATGCCCTAAAAACTATATTTCCACAACCAAGTCTCTTCCCAAGCAGTTTTATTAATAAAAGATTATGTCTTTTCTCTGAGAAATTCTGTCATATGCTTTGAACTAGCAATGGAATAGCATGTGTGTGCGTGTGTGTGTGTAGTAGACATGTATTTTTCAGAACTCTTTCAGATAACAAATTTGTATGCAAACTACCCGAAGGCCCAAGAGGAACTAATTGGCACAATTAACTGTGACACTGGTCTCAGTCACACTGGGAACCAGGGTCATTAGTGATATCATAGCATTCTATCACTCCAGATTTTAGACCAAGAGTATCTATGTGTCAGCCCTTAACTTGTATACTCTGAAAAAAAAATCTCTCCCCTTAGTTCCTACAGAAAAATTATCAGGGAGGACTTGATGGGCTCAACCAGAGACCTGCACTCATTCCTGAACTTGTTGCTATGTCCAATGTGGAAATGGATACTCCAATTATCCAAGACTTGGGTAATGTGTCCAATACTGGCTGACAGGGAGAGAGCAAGGGCATTACAATGCAAATCCGCTGAAATGAATTTCCCATGGGAGATAGGGGCCTATTAACCAAAGCAGAAAAAGGGTGTTGGACTGGCCCAATCAACAAATGTGCGCTGCAACAGAAGTGTTAGAGATATAAAACAAGGTATGATATCAAGGGTTATTCCAGAGTATAAAAATTAATTGGAAGAATTAAAATAAATCACACTTTTATAGACACATAAAACCATTAAAGGTAAACAGTACAGATATGGGATATTATCTATTCATTAAACAGATCATTAATAGGCACTTTTTGAGAGCTAATTTGCACCAGAAACTGTTTTAGCTGTTGTGATTAGAGCACCAAGCAAGACATAAAAGAATTCTGCCTTCACAAAGTCTACAGTGTTTTAGAGTATATTAATATTGTTTTGGTTGCAAATATTAGAAACTCAATTTGAACTAGCTCAGGAGAAAAAAAGAGAACTTTGTCAACAAAGTGGGATTCTCCATAGGCTCTAGGACAAGGATGCAGCAACTTAAGAATGGAACCAAGGCCTAGATTAGTATTATGAAACCAAAAATCCTTCTCTATTTTCTTCAGTCCTGCTTTTCTTTGTGAGTATCTATTGCATTTGCAATCTTCTATTGCAAACTGACTTATGATTCCAGGATCTCATAGCAGAAAATGGATACCATAAACAGTTCCCCAGGTTATATGTGATAGTCTAGGTATCTGAACTCTCTGTAAGTTCCAAAATTTCCAAAGAAGAGACCCTACAATCTGAATGAGATGCTTACCACTGGACCAATCCTCTACGGCCAGAGAAAGGGGCATAAATTGCGGTGACTGCTACAAACATGCAGATGGGAATGCAAAGAAATTACCAGGCAAGGGTGATAGGACTACTATTCAATAGGTGTCCACTACACAGGAAAGATAGACAACAATTTCTTGTGGTGTGTTTTATGATAAGGAAAATACAGGGTCTTCAGAAGTACACAGGGCAGCGCAAAAGAAAGGAGAAAAGCTCTTGCTTTTGTTTAGGGAAAAGTGAAGACCTCCCAGGTGAAGTATTGTTTTCACTAAGTTTTTCAAGAAATAAGTAGCATTTCCAGATGACCTAGATTGGGATCAGCCTGGAGTCTCATGAAATCTCTAATTTCACTGAAATGAAATTTTAAAATTTATTGATAGAACTCTAGAATAATTATTCTCTAGTACAATGCTCATCAAATTTTAATATGTGTAT